CTTCAGCTGGCGCGGGTCTCATATGTCCCCTGCCTCTCCCATTGATTCTCAGCAGCTGAGATGCTTCAGTGCGTCAGTCGGTTTGCCACTCGCGCCTTGGCGTGTTGGGCTGGACAGGCTGAGTTGCCGATTGTTTAGCAGCGGGGATGCTTCATCGGGCCGTTCGGAGTGCTACTCGCGCACGGGCGCGTAAGCTTTCTGGATCGTCTTGCAGGTGTTGCGCGGAAGAAAGGAGATTTCTTCCTCCACTCCCCGCATCATCGCCTTTATTCCGGCATGTGTCTTCTCCAAGTCCCACTCCCTCTTTCTCCTCCGTCTGCCTCCTCGCCTCTTCCTTTCCACGAGGCCAAAAGGCTGCGCCAATATGACCTTCGCACAATCGGATCTAATCCACACTCTTTGGCATTAATTGCTTGTTTTACGGTCTCTGGGATCTTCAACTTTTCGGCTGATGTAGCTATTCGGCGTGCCTGGGAGAGGAGAGACCGTAGAGGGTCCATTACCCGAGACGTACCCAAACACTTCTGCACGCGAGGCGACTATTCACATGAACCACTTCCCGCGAGAGAGCACGTTGCGAGACATGCCGCACTCTGGAATGATTTGCCAGACAATGTAGGGCCATGCGGGTCGCACACCTGCGCAGATCCGATCGCGAAAAGGGACAGCGACGCGACACGTACGAACATGGTGACTGTTGCACAGCTCGCAGCCCACCCTCAGAACAGCGAGGTCGCAACAGGATCGGTTTGATTGCCCACTCCGCTGTGCCTTCCAGGAGCCCACGACCGTGACGACAGTTGCGCAGTTTGCAGCCCTCCGAGGCAGCCGCGAGATCTCGCCTGGGTCCGTACTGCCCTGACCTCCGCCGTGCCTCCCGGGAGCCCACGGAGCAAACAAAACGACAGTTGCGCAGTTCGCAGCCTCCCATGGGGACGCGAGGTCTCGCCTGCATCCGCGCTGCCCTGCACCTCCGCCGTGCCTCCCAGGAGCCCACGAAAGTGGCCGACAGCTGTGCAGCTCGCAGTCCCCGCTGGAACCGCGGGGTCTCACATGGACCTGCGCTGCCCTCGCCTCCGCCGCGCCTCCCAGGAGCCCACGGAGAGTGGCCGACCGTCGCGCGGCTCGCAGCCCTGAAGAGGCAGCAAAACTCTGTCCCTGGAGCTCTCAGAGCATCCAGGACGGCCCGCGAGGCCTCCAAGCCGCCCCAGGACGGCCCAGGATGCCCCCCCCCCTGCAGGGCTCCAGGACGGCCCACGAGAGCCCCAAGAAGGCCCCCGAGGCAGCCCAGGATTGCCCCAGGACGGCCCCAAGAGGGGGCCCAGGAGGGGGTGGCCGAAGGGACATGTCAAGCCTCCGGCCCCAAGACGCCCCCCCCCCGGGAGGCCCCTGGAGCAGCCATCACGGCGGCCAGGGGCGGCCCCGAGGCGCCCCGGCGGCGCCCTCCAGGGGCCTTTGACGACCCACGATGCCTTTCAAACGGCCCAAGAGGCGTCCACGACGCCTCAAGACCACTCCACGAGGACCCCCAAGAGGGCCCCGAGAAGCAACACCTCCTCCCAATTCTTTCTGGGAGTACGTGTTTTTTTCATGTATGTGCGCTGTGGGCGTCAACACGGTCCAGGACAACCCAAGCGTTCTCCGACACCGCCCCAGGACTGCCCAAGAGGGCCCTTAGACGGCCCAAGAGGGCCCCAAGACGGACCAAGGAGCCCCGAAGACGGCCCAAGAGAGGCCCAAGCTGGCCCACCAGGGGCAACCCGAGCTGCAATTTCGAGTCCTTCGCCCAAAGACGACCCCCGAGGCCGCCAACAGGCCGCCAACAGGCCCAAGGGGCCCCGGGAGGCCCAAGAGAGGGCCCAAAGAAGCACCCAAGAGACCCCAGGGCGCACCCGGGAAGGCTCCAGGAGACCCCCAAGATGCCCCCAACCGGGCTCCGAGAGACTTCCAAACAGACCCCGAGATACGTTGATGAGGCCTTTGGCCTACGACTCAGCCATATTCTCCTGATCTATTCCAGACCACCGTCAAGGCGGCCCCAAGAGGGCCCCGAATCGCCTCCAAGACGGTTTCGAAGAGTCTCCGACGGCCTGGGGGGATGTCTGCCTGAAGTTGCTCGTGGTGGCAAGAGGCCCTCTGGAGGTCCAAAGAGGGCCTAAAGAAGCACCCAAGGGACCCCAGGACGCACCCGGGAAGGCTCTAGGAGACACCCAAGAGGCCCTCAACCGGGCTCCGAGGGACGTCTTAAGAGACCCCAAGATACGTCTACGAGGCCTTTGGCCCACAACCCAGCCATATTCCCCTGATCGATCCCAGGGCGGTTCCAGAGGGCCCCGAATCGCTCCCAAGACCGGATTCGAAGATTCTCCGACGGCCTGGGGGGAAGCGTGTGTGTGTGTGTGTGTGTGTGTGTGTGTCTGTGTGTGTGTGTGTGTGTGTGTGTGTGTGTGTGTGTGTGTGTGTGTGTGTGTGTGTGTGTGTGTGTGTGTGTGTGTGTGTGTGCGTGCGTGCCTGCGTGTGTGTGTGTGTGTGTGCGTGTGTGTGTGTGTCCTTGCCACTGGACGTTGACGGACCCAGTCGCGACTTAATTTCGGGTTTCTCGTGAGAGTGATCTGGATCGTGGGTAAACATTGCGCCAGATGCTTCTGCTCGATTTCGCCTCAGGAGGGCCAGTTTCGGGCCTTCGGGGCCGTCAAGGATCGATCCGGTGTGCATGGCCAGCCGGAGTGGACCCCAGGTAATCGTGGGGTTCGATTCTTTATGCCACCTGGTGCACCACGCTTTGAGGGCGTATGCACCGATGCTGGGGCCCAGGAAGCTGCTGGCCAGGATCGGCGCACGCGAAAGCATGAGTACTCCCCCGGCGGTGCCTGCACCAAGGGGCTCTCAAGTCTTCGTCCCCCAAAGGGAGGAGGTTCTGACTTGTGTCCCGCAGGGACTGGATGCGTCTGGCGGAGTTTTGCTCAGTGCCCAGCTGGTGGTCGTGGTGCCTGCCTGGGGCCTCGTGGGCGCCTCGTGGGCGCCTCGTGCACCAGGTGGCCGTGCCGAGGTTTCGCCCGGCGCTCGCCCGTGGCCGCCCGTGGCTGCCTCGTGGGCGCCTCGTGCGCTGGGCAGATCGCCTGCACCACGTAGCCTGCGCCACGTAGCCTCGTCACGGCCTTCGCCACGCATCGTACACCACGCAGGTGGCGCCACACAGCTCACGCCACACATGCTACGCCAAAGGGCCTGCACCGCATAGCCTGCACCGCATCGCTTACACAACGTGGCTTGCACCACGTGCGCATTACACCGCGCAGCTTGCGAGCCATATCTTACATCACACGGCTTACACCACATAGCTTGCCTCACAGAGCTTACACCGCGTAGCGTTCACCATCTAGGCCGCACCACATTGGCCGCACCACAAACACATAGCTCACACCACCTAGCTTGCACCACATCTTACGCCTCCGCAGTGCGGTAACTCACTCTTCACCCAGCTTGCACCACATCTTACGCCTCCGCAGTGCGATAACTCACTGTTCTAGAGGGCCCCAAGCCACTCCGAGTCTTGAAAAGGCCAACCGTGCGCAACGTCCTCGGTGCTCACCCGGCCTCAAAACGGCTCCTGGATGCCTCTCGGGACCAAGAGACCTGCACGAAGCCTTCGAGAGGCGGTCCGCAAGGCCCCTCAAGAGACAGCATGCCTCACATCGGCAATCATTCGATCCCGCAAGGCATTCAGACACCCTCTTCGCGTGGCAAGGCTGGGGGGGGGGACGTCGTGCGACGTAGGCCTCCCCTCACAAGGCGGGCGACCCCCTCCAGTTGTCTGGATTCCTCGGGGCGGCGTGGGATGGACCCTGCCTTGACCTGTCAGGTCGCCACGACGACAAGGCAAGGCAAGACGAGGCAAGACGAGGCAAGACGAGACAGGACGAGACAGGACGAGACGAGGCAAGGCCAGACATGACAGCCTCCAGGATGGCCGTAAGATGCCCCAAGCGGGCCCTAGAGGGTCCAAACCTTGAGGAAACTAATCGATCTGCGCCTTGTCGCCTATTTGCTCCCGATGGGCTCTTGATGCTTCAAGATGGCCCAAGAGAGGCTCCAGACGGGCCTCGTGAAAACCGTTCCAGATCTCGAAAAGGCAAACAGGACCAACCGTGGACGGCGGCTAAGAGGACCAACCGTGGATGGGCGGCAAGATGGCCCCGGGAGGAGGCCCCCAGGAGGCCCCCCCAAAGGCTCCCCGGAGGGCCCCGCAGAGGCCCTCTCTCAAACACAGGGCCTCCGAGAGGCCCCCGACAGGCCACCAAGCGGGTCCCCCCCAAGGGGCTCCCAGGAAGTCTCGCTAGGCGGGCGTGTGTGTGTGTGTGTGTGTGTGTGTGTGTGTGTGTGTGTGTGTGTGTGTGTGTGTGTGTGTGTGTGTGTGTGTGTGTGTGTGTGTGTGTGTGTGTGTGTGTGTGTGTGTGTGTGTGTGTGTGTGTGTGTGTGTGTGTGTGTGTGTGTGTGTGTGTGTGTGTGTGTGTGTGTGTGTGTGTGTGTGTGTGTGTGTGTGTGTGTGTGTGTGTGTGTGTGTGTGTGTGTGTGTGTGTGTGTGTGTGTGTGTGTGTGTGTGTGTGTGTGTGTGTGTGTGTGTGTGTGTGTGTGTGTGTGTGTGTGTGTGTGTGTGTGTGTGTGTGTGTGTGTGTGTGTGTGTGTGTGTGTTAGTGTGTTAGTGTGTTAGTGTGTGTGTGTGTGTGTGTGTGTGGAAGTCTGCTGGCGTGGGTCCATGGCGAGGGGCAAGCCCGACCCTGAAGGGAAAGAATGGGGTCGGCAGAGGACGCGCCCTGACCACCCAGGGTCCAGGGGGCTGGTGGGGTTTACCCGAGCCTGTAGGATCGCTGGAGTGATCTCCGCCTCAGTTGCGGCTCAGGCCGTTCGGGTCGATCCTAATCTTACACGGCAGTTTTTGTTCGGGCGAGCTTCGCCGAGAGTTCACACTCAGATCGCCGAAAACTTGTCACGGAGGCACCATGGGAGCTATCAGCCGGACGGGATGGGCGTCCGCCCCAGCAGCACTCATTTGCACAGTCGTGGCATTGCTCGGAGTGTCAGATGCTCGGAATCCCACGTCTGACGTGCCCATCTACACCACCTCTGATGTCGACGTAGGGACGGAGCGCCATTGGACGCTTGTGCTGGAGGACGATGCTACAGATGAAGAGCTGGGTGGCATTCGCCAGGAGTTTAACAACGGGCAGCACAGCCATCCGGGCAGAGGCCAGATGCCATTTGTGGTGGGAAGCATGACCAGAAACTCCCTCAACGCGCTGCTGGCGAGGCACAAGGGGCGAGTGAAGTTTGTTCAAGAGGACCAGTTTTCGAAAAGGGTCCCAGACATGGAGACCGTCAATTCAGAAGACGCGTACTCGGAGGGGCGAGCCTCCCGGACTTATCCATGGGGCATCCAGTACGTCGGCGCGAACGTGGTTCGGCGGCGGGGCGCGGGAGTACATGTGTACGTGTTAGACACGGGCATTCGCATTACCCATAACGAGTTCGGCGGCCGCGCTTTCGCCGGAGTGGACGTCGCCTCCTCGGGAGAGTATCCTGGCACTCTCACAGAGTGCGCGCCCCTCAGCACAACGTGCTCTGCAGATGTCCATGGGCACGGCAGCCACTGTGCGGGCACGGTGGGGGCTTCGACATATGGCGTCGCGAATGGCGCGACCCTGTGGGCAATGAAGGTCCTGAATGATGCAGGCTCTGGCTGGACCACATGGTCCATCTTAGCCGAGCAATGGATTCTGTCTTCCGGGAACAGGCCAGCGGTTGTCAGCATCAGCATCCAGGCCAACTACAATGACCTGGCGGAGCAGACGTCGATCGACAATTTGGTAGCCGATGGCGTGACCGTGGTGGTGGCTGCAGGAAACTCTAACCAAGACGCCTGCAGCTGGAATCCAGCTTGGATTCCGTCGGCGATGACCGTTGCAGCCTTTGGCGGGACGTCGGGGACCTCATGAGACAGGTCTTCGTACAGCAATTGGGGCTCCTGCATCGATGTGTATGCCCCTGGCACGAGAATCCTCTCGACGGGCCCGTCCAGCGACACCCACACCTACTACAACACAGGCACGTCCATGGCTTGCCCGCACGTCTCTGGGCTCGCTGCCAGAATGTACGAGGCGTACCCATCGGCGGGGTCCATGACCGCTGCGCAACGGTGGGCCCTCCTGAAGGCCACGAACTGCACTGGTTGTGTCACGAATGACGCGACCCCCATACCCACTGACAACCTGGTGATCTTGGCCCTCCCAGCGAATCCGTGCTCAGTCTTTGACGGGTCAGGGGCGAGCGCGACCTACCCGTGCGATTGCGGCAGCGCTTTGTGCACAAACGGCGAGATATGCACCAGCAGTATCGACAGCTGTGGTTCAGCATCCCCGACGCCAGCTCCCGCACCGACGGCTGCGCCGACAATCGCGCCCCCAACAGATGCACCGACGCACTCGCCGACTGCAGCACCCACAGCTGCACCAACTGCACCGACGGATGCGCCGACTGCTTCTCCGACAGTTGCACCGACAGCAGCGCCGACGGTTGCGCCCACTGCTGCGCCGACCGCATCCCCAAAAGAAGCACCGACGGATTTTCCAACCGCAGCTCCCACAGCTGCACCGACGGGGGCGCCGACCGCTCCCCCGCCCGCGCCGACGGTTGCACCGACTCCTGCGCCGACCGCATCTCCAACAGCAGCGCCGACTGACTCTCCAACCGCAACTCCCACAGCCGCACCGACAGTTGCACCGACTCCTGCGCCGACCGCATCTCCAACGGCACCGCCCACTGCTTCTCCAACAGCAGTGCCCACATCTGCGCCAACGGAGGCACCGACCGCCCCCCCGCCAGCACCGACAGTTGCACCCACTGTTGCGCCGACCATATCCCCAACAGCTGCACCGACCGCTTCCCCGACAGGTGCACCGACAGCAGCGCCGACGGCAGCGCCGACTTTCGCGCCGACACCTGCGCCGGCTCCTCCGCCGACCGCTGCGCCAACGCCTCAGCACATGTGGGCGACCGTCTCGGGCCCGTGCACTGTGGACGGCACGTGTGTGCAGAGCCCGAACCATCCGAGCAACTACGGTGGAAACCAGATGTGCACGATCGGAATCGACGAGGCGAACGCAGCTCCGATTGTCGTGGAAGCCTTCAACACGGAGTCCAACAGAGACTACCTCATTGTCAACGGAGCATACTACTCTGGAACCTCGGGTCCCTCTGGAGTCACGCCTTCAGCCAGTATCGTATGGTCGTCCGACCGACGGAAGTCCAGCAGTGGGTGGAGATTGTGCATGCCAGTGTCAACTTCTCCACCTCCGCCGACTGCAAAGCCCACGCCTGCGCCGACAGGTTCATCGACACCTGCGCCGCCAGTGGCGCCGACTCCTGCGCCGGCTCCTCCGCCGACCGCTGCACCGACGCCCGCTTCCCAGCACATGTGGGCGACCGTCTCGGGCCCGTGCACTCTGGACGGCACGTGTGTGCAGAGCCCGAACCATCCGAGCAACTACGGTGGGAACCAGATGTGCACGATCGGAATCGACGAGGCGAACGCAGCTCCGATTGTCGTGGAAGCCTTCAACACGGAGTCCAACAGAGACTACCTCATTGTCAACGGAGCATACTACTCTGGAACCTCGGGTCCCTCTGGGGTGACGCCTTCATTCAGTATCGTGTGGTCGTCCGACCGGCGGAAAAGCAGCAGTGGGTGGAGATTGTGCATGCCAGATCGCCGTTTGGAGGCCGCGGAGCCAAACAAGGCGGCCTTTGCGTTGACGGCGCCGACCATCCTCGTCTGACTGAACGGCATCCAGGGGAGGGGCGGACCCGTGACAGGCGTCCGTGAGTGAGGCGCGCTGGCGAGCAATGCTGCGTTTTTCATCTTCGCCTCGCAGAGCGACTGGCTCCTCCTCTGCCGTGTCGGCGCGGCGAGGAGTCGAGGGGTGGTTTCGCAGCCTGGGTCTCGCGAGAGCACTTGTCTCGTTCCGGGGGCGGTCGTGGCGGTGGCCCAGGACCTTTTGTGGCGATTCGTGGGTGTTGTCTCAGAGGCGGCGCTGGAGGTCGCAAGCGACAGCGTGAGAGCCCCTGCTGTTTCTTACAGGACTGCGTGCCCGAGGTCTCCTCCCCCTCCTGACCCCGCCTCCTGTGTGCGATCGCACGTGCTCCGCCCGCCGGCGTGACAGCGCGCGCATGCGTTTTTCCGAGACTGCAAACCACAGGCCTCCCCCTCCTGACACCCCCTCCCCTGCGCGACCGCGCGTGCTCCGCCCGCCAGCGTGACAGCCCGTGCATGTTGTTTCTAGAACCCTCGCCACGAATCGCCCACGTGGCGTTTGATCAGTCTTGTCTTAGGCTGCCCTCCTTGTCCTGCTCCAGCAAACAGCTTCCTTCTCGGCTCTTGTTTGCCTCCCACGCGTCTGCGGTGTTCGTGCACTTTTTCCCAGCTAGTGTTTTGTCGCCGCTGGCGATGTTCATTGAATCGCTTCGCTCATTCCGCCGGCCCGTGATATGGCATCGCTGGTTTTTGTCTGTGTGTTCGTTGCCCATGTTGCGCTCTTGGGGGCGGGTGTCGTTCGGACGCGTTGCGTGGGGAGTTTTGATGGTGAAGCAGTTCCCTGGGGGTCGTCTCTCGATGGGGCGAAATAGAGTCGTCGTCAAGATGCTTCTTTGGGGGGCCTCTTGGGGTCTGTTGAGAGGCCGTTCGGGGGCGCCTGGGAGACATGTTTGAAGCCTTCTGGGGCTTCTTTTGGGCCTCCTGGGAGTCTCCTGGGGCCTCTTGGCGACATCTTGGGGCCTCTTGGAGGCCTCTTGGGGCCTCTTTGGGACCTCCTGGGCGCCTTCTGGGACGGAGGGCTCCATTTTTGAGTTCTCGGTATCCCTCCTGAGTCCCTCTTGGGCCCGTCTTGGGGCCTCTTGGTCCGTCTTGGGCGGCACTTGGGCCGTCTTGAGGGCTCTCTTGGGTCGTTTCGGCGCCGTCTTGGGAGCTTCGTGGGCCGTCTTGGAGCGGTCTTGGGGGCCTCTTGGGCCGTCTTGGAGCGTCCGGAAGCCGAAAAAGCCAGAACACAAAAAACATCGAAAAAACCAATGAAAATCAACGATTTTGGCCTCTTGGGGCTCTCTTCGGAGGCCTCTTGGAAGGCTCTTGGGGCGTCTTGGAGGCCTCTTGGGCTGTCTTGGGGGCCTTTTGGGCCGTCTTGGGGTCATCTTCGGCGTCTTCGAGCGCTCTTTGGGCGTCTCGGGGGCCTCTTGGGCAGTCTTGGGGGCCTCTTGGGGCACTCTGAGCGCGCTCTGGGGAGCCTGAGAGGCCGCACCCAGAAGGAAAACCATCTCTGAGTAGACTTGGTCGGGCGGCGGTCGGGCGGCGACCGGGCGTTGGTCGGGGTACTTTTCGCCGGGGGACCCCCAGGGGCCGCCCCGCGCGCGCGAACTAGAAATACTGTTAATACTGTTAACCAGTTACCGGAGATCTTAGCACGCCCTGGCCAGTTGGGCCGGCGAATTTAGATTGAATGCGTTTCAGGCGCGCCGCCTGCGAAGAATTCGGGGCATTTCGCATTCATGCGTTGGTCGCGTCTCCAACGCCGCAGTTTTGAATGAGGCCCAGCGCAAGAAACTCAGCGATCTTCTTTCGCCGCGGCAATTGATTTTGTTCGGAGATATTGCGCGAAAGGGCAACGATCACCCTGTCAGTCAAGTCGTTTTCCAGCCTTCACCTTCCGACCTGACGCAGCAGCCCGGCCGCCGAAAGAGGGGCGTGCCCCCGCAGGTGTGGGTGTCAGAGTTGTATTAGCACAAGCACGGTCAGCGAGTTCGTCACGATCTTGGTTCAATAAATGTAATTTGGGCACCCTTGCTGCGGGAGCTTGGAAAGCAGCAGTGCGCATGCATGCTGTCTAGGGCGCGCTCATGCCATTGATCATGTGCCTACGGACGCGCGGCTTCATTCATTCATTCATTCGTTCATTCTTTCATTCACTCATTCAACGAATGTTGCCCCTTGGAGGCCTTTTGAGCCGTCTTGGAGACCTCTTGAGCCGTCTGGAGGCCATCTTGGGCGTCTTGGATCGATCATTCGGCGGTTCGGGGCCCTCTCGGACCATCTTGGGGGCCTCTCGGGGCCCTTTTGGCCCGTCTGCGGGCCCGCTAGGGCCAGAACAAATCATGCGACAAGCCGGCCCAGGCCGCGGGAGATCTGGGAGCTTGCAGTCCGAGCCCCTTAGAAACTTTAGCCCACAGGACTGCGGACTACAACAATGGACCTGTGGACACGCCCACTCCGTGCATGAAGGCACGGTGGCGGATTACGGCGGCGGCGACGGTACAGGTGATGGCGATTAGGACGACAACGGCGACGACCACGACGACCACGACGACGATGACGATGACGATGATGATGTTGCTGATGATGGTGGTGATGATGATGTTGTTGGTGATGGTGATGGGAATGCTCTTGTTGTTGTTGATGATGCTGCTGGTGGCGTTGATGTTGATGTTGATGATGATGTTGATTCTGACGCTGATGTTGATGCTGGTGACGATGATGATGATGGTGATGATGATAATGCTGTGGGTGATATTGATGATGATAGTGTTGGTGATGATGGTGATGATCATGATGATGATGGTCATGATGATGATGATGATGATGATGATGATGATGATGATGATGATGATGATGATGATGATGATGATGATGATGATGATGATGATCCCCCTCCTGCGGACAACGCGCTCCCCGCGCAACGGCCGCAAACCGCCCGAGGCCTGCCACCCGTCCAGGCGCGGCTGCCCTGGCAAGCGCACATCACGACCGGGGGCGAACCTCGTTGTTCTGGTCCCGCGCGGGAGCAGCCCTCACCGCGCTGGCTTCGCCTCCCGCTCAGCGTCGTGAGCGGATGCACCATCGTTTGTTGCGCAGCGCTTCGGGCTCCCCCAGCCAGCCTGGCTTCGTCGGGTGCAGCCCGCGCCGCTGGCGGCGGAAGGCGTCCGCTTGCCTGTCGGACGTCGCGCGGTGCAGGCACGGTTCCGTCAGGCCCATGACCGTCGCCGACGCCGCACTGCAGCCGCACGCGTTGCAAAACACGCTCGGCCCCGCCACGTAGACACGTCAATTTCGTGCATGGCTGCATTCCACCACGGCGGCTTCGGTGGGGGAGGCACGGCCGCCGCCTGACCGCCACCTCCGGCAGCCTCTCCAGCGGCAGGCGCAGCAGCCGGCGCGGCGCCACGCGCGCGTCCGCGGCCGCGGCCGCGGCCTCCGCGGGCCGGGGCGAGGGCGGCTGCGGCGGGCGCGGAATGGCGCGGGGCTCGGCTCGGCGGCCTCCGGCGGGGCGGCCGCGGCGCTCGCCGCGCCTCGCGTCCGCTGCAGGGTCTCGCCAGCAGCATGCGCTTCCTCGTCGCCGTCGGAGGCGCCCAGAGATGCGCGGTGGCGCGGGGCCCTCAGCAGCGGCCTCGTCCACCTCATCGCCGCCGCCCGCCTGGCCAGCGGCCTGGGCCGCCAGCGCCGCCCCGACGGCCGCCACCGCGACGACCGCCGCCGCCGTGCTGCCCGCCTGGCCGCCCCCGTCGCTGACAGCCGCTCGGCCTCCTTGGATCGCCACCCCGTCGTCAGCGCACTCCCAGCAGCTCCAGCGCACGCCTCTGGCAACCTCCAGGGCCGCGCCGTGGCGGTCGCACGCTCTCACCGCGCGCCGCGGGCCCTGCACGCCGCAATCAGCTCTGGGCCTCTGGCGGCACCCAGGCCAGGCGCATCGGATGGCCTCCAGACCTGGGGCTGCGTTTCCGTCGGGCGCCTTGAGGAGCGCGTCGCCCTCCTGCACGGCCGTGCCAATCTGCGCGGCTGGCGCCTTCCTCCGCTCGAGCGTCGGCCCTGGCGTCCCCCGCGCCCCTCGCGGAAGTCGTGCTCCGTGCAGCGCGCCTTTACCTTCGCAACGCTGATGTTGCCGTTGCCGTGGTCCTCGACGAGCCGCCAGAACTGGCACCACAGCTCGCGATACGCCTTCCTCCACGCAGTGCACCACCGCTTCCACGCAATCCATCCGTCATAGACCAGGGCCGAGTCCGTGTATAGGATGATCGGGCCGATGCAATGCCGAAGGGCCATGACAGCTGGCTGCAGCTCGCCCGCGCCACTGTCCTGCGGGAGCGGCCGCGGCACGTTCCCCCACATGGCCGTGCGCTCGGCGTCGTTGGCCCACGTCGTCACCGCGGCCCAACCTGCTCACGCGAGCTGGCGATCGCGGCGCACTGCCGAACCATCCAGGAACACCTCTCGCACCATGACGTCGCCCGAGTGGCTGCCCGCGCGCCGAATGACGATGGTCAGGAAGGGTTGCGACGCCTTCGATCTCTGATCAGTCAGGAGCCCCCGCGACCATGTGAAGTGCTCCCCGCCGTCGCAGGGGGTGGCCGCCTCCGCCTCCTGCAGCACCGCGAGGCCAGGCGACTCCCCGAGCTGGAGGCGGCGCGGTCCCTCCAGCGCAGGGCAGCGCCACGCCAAGTGCGGCACGGTGCCCGCCTCTTCGCGGCCCCACGGGCAGCGAGCCGAGGACGTCTGCGGCGGGCTGGGCCTCGCGCGCCGCGCAACCGGCCACGAGCAGCCTACCATGGCGCTGCGGGCCGAAGAGCTGCACGCTGCCACACGCGCCGAGGCCTTCTTCGCCAGGAACTTGTACCGCACGCTCGCGACGGCGCCACCGCGGCGGACCGCCTCCAGCTCCGAGCGGTGGTCCGCCACCTCGCGCCACAGCGCCCTGACCAGCGGCTGGTCACCAGCCCCGACTCGACGAGGCCCTTGATTGTATGGTGCCCGATCTCCGCGAGGTCCACCGCGCGGTCGAGGTCGTGGACTAGCTTGACGGACGTCATGTGCGATCCCAGCCTGCGGCATGCCAGCAGCGCAGCGCCCGTTGGCCCCGACGCTGCGAGATCTGCTGGTCCCTCGTCCTGCTTGACTTCCTTCGCCCCCAAGAACGCGCTCATGATTTCTATTCGGTCCTCCAGGCGAGTAGCCATTTTCACGCCCTTGGCCCACGCATCTAGGGGTTTGAAGACGTGCTGGAACAGCGGGTCATCGCGCACCAAGGCCGAGACCAGGAAGTTGCGGGCGACGCGCGCCCGAAAAGCATCGCGGCCACCTGGCCCCTCCACCGCTGCAGCCTGCTGTCCGACCAGGCCATGGCCTCGCACCCAAGCTCAGTGGCCGGCAGCGAGCCGCTCTCCCCGTGCGTGCCTGTGCGATGCGGGAGGACTGCTCCACCGCCTTGGCGTGGCGCCTGGTGACCACCGCCGCAGCCCCTGCCACCGCGCCGTAGTCCACGCCCAGGTCGCGTGCCTCCTCGACATGCTTGAGCCTCCCCTGGTTTATGATCTTCACCAGCGCACCCCTCGGTCCGCCCGATGAGGCCAGCACCTCCGACTTCGAGCGGGAAACAATGCAGCCCATGTCCGCCTCCAGACCTTGGATGAAGTCGCGGGCCGCTTCGCCAAGGTAGTGGGCAATGTCCCAGAAAGACCCTGCCATGCGCAGCGAGCAGTCGTCGAACATGACGGCCACGTCCACCTCCTTCCAGCAGCGCCTATGCTCCGCGCCCAACATCATCGCACAGCGGAGGATCCTGCCCGAGTGCAGCAAGCCGAATGGCCGCCAGCCCCCCGCTCTCCCCGGCCAGCACGAGCAGCAAGGCTCCGACGGCCGCGTCGGGCAGCGTGTCGATCGCCTCCGCCGCCATGCAGAAGGAGATGGTGCCGTCCAGCGAGCCGTCGGAGACGTACTCCAGCTGCTGCGGGTTGACCTGGTCGACGTATGACGCCCAGGCCCGCGCTCCTGCTGAAGGCCTTGGCGGCCGCGCGCCCCTCCTCCGCCGAGGGCCTGTGGAGGGGGGGTCCCGTGGGGGGCCGCACCCGCGCCACTGGTGGGCGTCCGGGCCGTCGGGGGGCCGCTGCTGCGATCCCGACTGCGCTCTCGGGGCCGCTGCTGCCGCGCCAGCTGCGTGCGGCGGCCGAGGTGGCTGCTGGGCGGTCCGCGACGCCCGCCGGCGAGCGGCGGGCGGCCCGACAGACACCGGCAGGGAAGTCCAAGGACTTTCCGGAAAGTCCTGGACTTGCCAGGGGGTGGAGGATGAGGCTCATCGGCGTGGTCTCCGCCGTCAGTTGGTGCGTCCAGACGTCGCTCGCCCAGTGCTCCGCGATCAGGTCGGCCCGTAACTGTCCACCATCAGGCTCGCCGTGGGTCGCGTTGATCTCGTCTGGCACCCGACAGCGCGGGCCGCTCGAAAACGAGTGCACCTGCTTCCCGCTGGCAGCCAGCGACGAGCGAATCCACTCGCAGAACTCATTGCGCCGCTGGTACAAGAACGAAGTGAGGTTGTCTGCCGCCTTGCGCGCCTCCTCCTCCCACCCGTGGACGATCTCCGGGTGCATGCCTGGCGCCAGCCTGACGCGCACGCCCCACTGCTCCGAGACGGCCCTGAGCGCCATCGTCGGCCGGCGGGCCATGGCGTCCTTGCGCACCAGCGCGAGGTAGTCCGCCACCGCCAGCAGGTAGCGGGCCTCCGCACATGCCTTGGGCCGCGGGGTGACGCAGGGCCCCGCTCCCTTCCCATCCAGGTGGGGCGCCTTCCAGTGGAACTCAGGCATGCCGCCCCTGCCCCCGTAGCGGCCCGCCTTCTCGGGCTCTGGTTGGTGGGCGATCGCGAGCTCCGTCCCGAGCAACTCCATCAGCTGCTGGAAGGCTCCGTGGAGCGCCTCCAGGGAATCGGCCTCCTCGCACGATCGCGCCACGGCCTGCGG